GAGCAGGTGCTTGGGAGTCTGCGGTGCAAGTCGGTTGTGTCCTGTGCAAGGGGCACCAAAGAAGCACAGGCTGGGTTTGAACTGGATTTCTTACCCTTTTCAAATCCAGGAGGGCTCTTGCGCTGTCTTTAGGGGGCACAAACAGAGTTGTCTTTGGAGTGCATGCAGCTTCCAAATAATAAACTAAAAAGAGGTAAGAAGTGGAATTTGTGCAGAATGTTAGTTGTTACAAACATCATACAATACTGCGAGAGGATATCAGATACATTTCAAATGGCAAACAAAGCGCAGTACAACAGCACAGCCCTTGAGACTCTTCTGAGAAGTATTGGTTGGTTTCTTTTTTCATTTAATTTCTGTCTCCTAATTCTGGGTTGTAGACAACATACTTTTTCCCTTCCGCCTCTCGTTTCTCCTACCAGAATTTGCTATAATTGAAAGGAGTTTCTCTTACAACCATAATTACAAAATGCATCTAGAGAAGAGAGCCAAGCATGGGACTTGCTTTGTGGAATAAAAGATGGGTCAGACTTGAATAAGCAGAATCTTTGTCTTATCCCATGTGTCACGCACCTACAGAGAAAAATCACTGCTCTAACAGCAGAGTGATTGGTTTTTTTAATATCCCATCTCTTGATAACTTAAGGGGTTTGGTTACCAAGTGTCACTTGTTGCTCCCGGGCATGGAGTGAGCTACTGCATACTTTTAAATGGCCTCAGATAACTTGCATAGATGTAAACTTACCTTCTATGTACTCTGAATTGACTATTTTACTATTTTTTTTTCTGGAATGAGCACTTATACTTTGTCATACTGGTTTGCATAGAAGTTCTCCTGTCCTTTGGTATAAGCTTGGCATTATTTCATGACCCTGCAAAAGCTAGAAACTCACCTTTCAATGAGAAACACATTTTCTCGTTGGTACAGAAAGTTGACGAACACACATGTGAAATTCACAGCATCCTCCTTAACATGTCATGAGCATGTGGAGGTGAACCACAAGGACACAGCTCACGTCAGCTCTCACCTACAGCTGAGAGGAGTTAGTAATTGTCCTGGGGAGAGAGGGCAGGAAGGAAGGATGGCTGGTCGTTTGCTGGGGGAGGGCATGGGCATTTGTAGCTCGCTTCTGTAGGTTGCAGTGAGCAGCAGGCATAGGCTGAGGCGCAGTGATGCTCTGTTTTGGAGAAGACATTTTTCAGCAGTGTGTTGCTGCACGTCATTTACAAACATGGCCCAGCACTTGCAGAACAGAGATTGTGCTAGTGAGGACAACTCCAGCAACGTGGCAAGGGGAGAGTTTTGTCCTTAATGTTGTATAATACAGATATACACCCTGCAAATGATGACCATCATCAAGGAAAGCTGCCGGTACAGTCCGTCAAAAACTGCAAAGCTAATGATGGGCTGGGCAGATAATCGTGGGAGAGTTAATTGTAAGGTTCGATATGGCATCTTGTCAGCAGAGATAAGTTGTCACGTTTTCCACTTGAGCTGAAACTAAATGATTGTAAAATAAGTTATGAGTGTCCTTGGGCCTGTCTGCCAGAATGATGGCTAAGAATACATTCCTGGCCCATCAGTCTCAAGCAGCCCGCTTGATATTTATGCGAACTGAATGTTATTTTATTCCCCCTCTAGTCATGCTTGTCAGCTTCCCGAGTGAAAAGTGAAACTGCTTCTTTGACTCATACTTCAAGTATTGAAGCTCAGAGAGGCTGCAGATTGTTATTATTATTACTAGTATTATATATTTTTTCGGGTGTGCGTTGAACATTGATGCCCGATTGGGAAGAACTAATGGCTGACATTGAACGCGCGGGATGGCTGCAAAACAGCCCATCCCAACCCAGTGAAACGCATCTTATGAGTTCCAGTGCCTCTGTCAAAGCTGGTTTAGATGTGGAGTAATGAGGCGCTTGCTTTTTTAATTTGGCGTGCCTTTTTCCTTGCCCCCCTTTTTTTTTTTTTTTTTTTTTAATATTTAATAGTGCCAGCAGTGGTCGTCTGTTCTCAGGCGTGGTAATTGATACAAAATAAAATGCATTATTTGTATTCAGTCAGGAGTATGAAATTGCATTCAGCGGGCTGAAGCCTGAACTCATTTACAGTTTTCCGAAGCCGGGCTTTCAGGAGCCCTCTTTTCAATTTGAAGAATACCTTGTCAGGCAAGAGAAGTAGTGGGAAATAGGAAAGCACAGCATGTAAGCCTAGCGCCTTTTGATTGCTCATATTTTAAACTGGGAGAATGTTAAATAACTTCCATCTTCAAAGGGTGGTCTCCGAAACTGGGAATACGGGGCATTAATACACCAACAATATCAGCTCAGTACCCGTTTACGAGCGACTCGCGTTTCTTTTCTGGTTGAGGGGGAGGGAAAGCTTCGGGCTCTTCACTTCAGAGCTGTTTGACCCAAGGACAGCAGGTTATTACCTGGAAAGGGCTGCGGATCAGGAGGATTTACCATAGGAGGTTAATTCTTCAGCTCTCCGATGCGAGTAGTCGGACTGTACGTGTGTACGTATCCTCATTTCTCAGAGCTCGCAAGTAGGTTTTGTTGGTGCAATTTATAGCCTAGAAATTAGACTAAGCTGTGGTAAGCATACAGATCTGCATTAGTATTTTTTAACAAGGATCCT